GTTTGAACCATAAACACATGAGGGGGCAAAGTCCACAGATATTTAATTGAGAAAATAGTATAAGAATGTCCAAGAGTATCTGTATTTTGGTTTCAATGCCACTAAAATAAAATAATAAATTAAACAAGGCCGAAGCAAACTTGAACTTTCCTGTTCCCCTAATAGATATAAGAAAGGCTTTCACCTAATTCCAAGACAAAGTCATAAAGCCTAAATCAATATTTCAAATAGCAGTTATAAATTAAAGGCAATTAGCGACCACTATATATCGGCCATCAGCGGCCCCGGCGGTCAGCTCCCTGGGGTGTCATCGAAACCTAATTTATTTTCATACGAATGTCTACAACATAGAATTAATGACATCTGATGCCCAAATTCACTTGAACTCTAATTCTGCTCTGCAAAGTTGTTTTTTAATAGTTTAATATATTGTGTAAACCAACTGATTCGGGTTAGACAGTTCTGTCGTACTTTTGAATCGCTTATATTGATGATATTATTACCTATATATTACGCTTTATCAATATATAAACGCTGAAATAAAATAATCGTAAGGTAAGAAGTGTTAGGGGATTGTCAAACCTAAGTTTCGGTTCGAACCCGGCGGAGAACAGATTTTTCTTTTGTTTATGTGTTAATTGCTTACGGTTAAAGAAAACAAGAGGTATCCGGTATTTGCCTAAGGTAACAATCAAATGCAGATATATGTCTACCCCATCGGGGAGATTATTTATTGTGAATTAATACACATATGTAGTGACTCTTTAATTATTTTCTCTATTTATTTTATTTTATTCTTGCTCTCAAACATCACACACGTTTCTAGAAGGACTATAAAATCTTATGAAAATATGTTATAGAAAGGATATACATGTCTGAAAATAACTTAAGGCGACGCGCTAACCAGATCCATGCATCTTCCTCACAATCGAGTAGCCCGCAATATAGCAGCACACAACTCACGACGCATTGTATTGAAGAAGTCTTCAAAACATTTTTAGCTAATGTTTATATGAGTCTATCGTACTTAGATTATGTTAAAGAAGTTACAAAGTTTGTTTGCAATCGTCAAATTTAAAATAACAAATTAATATGGATTTGGAACGTGTCAAAGGATGCCGTGTAAACTTTTCCAACACATGTTCGTAACTTTAAGTAGAGAAACGAGCGATCAATCACCAACAATGCGAGGTGCACCCTTGAGGAAAAAACTTGAACGGCTCTTGCTGATTTATTAGCGTAGTTAGAATTATCGCTATTTGCAATTCTTGGCGGGTTTAGCAAACAACTTGGCCAGATAACGACTTGCGATTTCAACTTACATACTTTTGAAACTCAAGAATCAAGAATGGAAGCGAGCGATTTGATCTTGTTTTATTGCCATTTTACAATGGTAAAATACTAGTCGTTTAAAAATAAAGTTAGAAGTAAGCTTTCTATTGTCTAGTTTTTGTCTAGACACTTTAAACCTGTTTTTAAGTTTTATAATAAGACGTTGATTAATAAGTTTCTTGTTAACGTTGGTAACCTTCATCTAGATAACTATTGATCATTATACAAAGCCTTTAATAGTATTATTCCACCTTCCTATTCGAAGTTCGTTTCGCCTGCGATTTTTTACTTTTTAGTAGTTACATACCAACATATAGAACATTTTGTTATATCCCATAGAACATACAACATAGAACTGTTCGCTTTTCCGGAATAAGAACCTAAGTACTAAATAAAACTATTTTTTTTAATTTTGATTTAATTTTTCTCTCCATTAAAATCTTCCTCAGAGTTCAAGTAATCAATAAACAAAACTCGGAGGTCCAGCCGTCGTCGAGTTTTGCGCTGAACAACATATTTTGCGATTTATCTTAGTATATATAAATTACGCGTCACGTTGTTTGTCCGCTATGGACTCCTAAGCTACTTAATCGATTTCAATCAAATTTACACACTGTGTGCAGTTTGATCTAACTTAAAAGATAGGATAGCTTACATATGTATATATATAATTCTACTGTACGTGTGTATGTCACTGAACTCCTCTTAAACGGCTGGACCGAAATGATTGATTTTTTGTATGCATTTGGGTGGAGCCCTGGATGGTTTAGATTCACAAATAAGCCCAGCAGATGGCGCTGCAGTCGGTATTTTCATACTTTGTTTTATATCTTAATCGCTTGAAATATGCAGGACAACGTCTCCCGGGTCCGCTAGTTTATATATATATTTAAACTACTTAACAAATCTTATGTTTGCAAACGCTACCTATCTGGACTTCCGTCAATGTAATCCTTTAGTTTTTTTAATTCAAATTAGTCTAATTCTATACTTTATTATAAAGAATATTTTATATAATATAACTCAAAAACCACGGACCAATTAATTCCTTAGAAGAATTCTAAATTATCCCTGTGTAAAATAGACTTATCGATATAATAATTGTTATAATAATGTATTATAATAAAAGTAATAGCAATTAAATCCAATGTAATCCAAGTTCAGTCATCAACAAATTGAAATAGATATCAAGAAATGGCTTACGTATGGAGTTAAATGGCGCTGCGATCCTTATGTGGTAATGTCTTCACCCTAATCACCGTTACGAGTCTCGAGAAGATAGCACGGTCAGACCTCAAGACATTAAACTGGATGTAATGTGTCCGCGAACCACCTCAGATTATCTTAAAGTTAACCGACAACGCGTGGTTTACACTGAGTATTATATTACTATTTATATGTTAAGTGTGTACTAATCACGTTGCGTTTATATATACCCACATAGTTCACCAATGGGGTAGACATATATCTGTATTATATTGTGACCTTAGGCAAATATCCGATACCTCGAGCAAATAAATTAACAAATTCATAAACAAAAATCAGTTGGTGCTCCCACAGGTTCGAACGGACAACTGAAGGTTTGAGAACTTACACTTTTTACCTTACGATTATTTTATTTCAGGATTTATATAATCGTAATTAGCTGCTTATATATATTAATTAATGTGACTCAGTTAACATGTTGATTAGCTTTTAATATTTGTTTATTATTATTGTTATTTTTTCTTTAGATTTTACTTTAATTTATTTTAGTTACGTGTTTGAATTTTTTTTGTTAATTATTAATGCACTTCTTGAACTCTACCCTCTGTACGTGTTTCTTTTTTATAGTTCCACATTAGGGTTGCCTAGACGAAATCGCTTGTTAGCGATAATTCCGCCCGTTGCCTTGTGACTTTCGTAACCTGCTTTTTAAATTTAATGTGTACGTTTTTGAATAAGGTAATAAAGTATAAATTAATTAATTAAGCGTTATATATCGGTAATTTTTGTAAACTATAAACATAAAAGTTTAAATACGTGTGCAATGTATCATTTTCATTTTTAAAATACGCTTCGTATGTTAAGAACATTTTTTAACTTAGTTTCATTTTAAATGTTTATTAACAGTGTGATCGCGTCTCTATTGAATTGGTAGTGACCGAGGCACTAGAACGGTAGTTACATCGTTTTCTGAATGAGAAGAGACTCCGATGGGCGCTTTGTGCCCCCACTGCGCTATTTGTTCGATATTGGTCGTTTACGATCCACACACGTCAGCTCCAATTACTAACATTGTTCTAAAGTATTATCCTATTTGTTTGTTTTCTCGTCGAATTCGAATAAAAGCACTTTTATTTATAAGTCGGTTCTTTTAAATTCTGTAAAATATCACATATTTATTTAATATTTAAGCTTTACCGGCTTCCATTCGAGCGTACTCTTCACCGAGACCAACTTCTTTATTTAATTGGGAAATAGCTTTACCCAAGATGACTCTCTCGTATTCGGACATGTGAAAATTCGCACCGCAACTTTCTACAATTCCGTAACATCCGATTTTTGTGGGTCCCGAGAAGAATCTGGTTCCAAAATGGGGATTTGCTGTGAAAGTATTTACCACTGTGGCGCCACCGTATAAAGCTTCTACCATGTTTTCTACAAATTCGTTAATGGACCACGCCATTGCCAGAGTGGATGAATCGACGCCTTGTTTGTGTCTTACAACCTCCATGCCAGATTTCTTAACCAATTTTGTAAGTGTATCCGCCTGACACGAATCCAGCTTGTAATGAGAGGGGGTCATATTTGAAAACAATGGTACAGTTGTTTCATCGGAATGACCTCCGATAACTGGCACGTAAAGATGACGAGGGTTAACATTAAGAGCCTTCGCCGCATACGCTTTTGCTCTAGCTGTATCAATTTGGGTGATTCCAAATATTTTAGCAGAATCATATGCACAGTACTTAAACAGCAGTGAACTAGCAAACGGTAGAATAGAGTTTATGGGATTAGTTGAAATAGCTAACACTGCATCTGGATTTATTTCGGCCATGGTTTGACACAGTCTATGAACGGCGGGCGCGTTCGCTGCTAACATTTGATCTCGTGTGTACCCAGGCTTCCTGGGTATCCTAGATACCATCACGATCAAGTGAGATGACCGAATTGATGCTGGAAGGAAACTATATCCGCTGTAAGATGCCACTCGTGGACCTCCCGGTAGTTCAGATAAATCTGACCCAATCGATAATACTTCTTCGCTATCGTCATATAAATTTAATCGTGTAATATTGTTATTTCGTTTCAAAAGCAGAGCTAAATTTGAACCAATTCCATTAGCCGCTCCAATTATGGACACTTGGGCGTTTCGCCTGTGTTCTTTTAAGATGCATGATTTTGAAAAATACGATTTAGCAGGAGATAGGCTTCGTGAAAACATTTTGCTTATTTCACAGAATTTAAAACCGACTTAACAAATATATGTCAACAATAATCATTATAAAGCAAGGTAAGGGCCATAAACAAAATACAAAAGAAGAATTGAATCTCATGAATACTTTATGTTTACACATCATCAAATGTCAATTTTCAAAGGTTATAAATGTCATAATTTAAAAAGTCGCCACAACGACGTGATGTATCAATAAATTTCGCTAAATTTAAAAATAATAACAAACAGAATGATACTTACAAAGAAATTCTTCAAATTATTTGCTTCCAATGTAAGTAAAAGCTACCATGTAACCGTAGTGGGTGGTGCCAACGAGGTTGGCCAAACTATAAGCCTTCTGTTGAGAACCCAACCTAACATCAGAAAACTAGTGGTATACGATGAACTGCCCAAGACTTCTGGGATTGCTTTAGATCTATCACATGTCCCAGCCCGATGCACCCTGCACAGTTACATCGGCGAAGAAAATCTGGATAAAGCACTTAAAAACGCAGATATCGTAATTGCAGCCGGTGGGGTTTCTCTGAACCCAGGCTTAACAGAAAGTGAGTGGTTCAACAAAAATGCAAATTTTATAAAAATGATATCTGAAAAAGTTTCCAAACAAAGTCCATTGCCATTTTTTGGGATCGTCACTGAACCACTTAATACTCTTGTCCCTATGGCATCTGAAATAATGAGAAACCACGGTGATTATAATCCCAAGAAACTTTTTGGCATTACAACTGTCGACGCATTGCGTGCCCAAACGATATATGCCGCCGAAAATAATTTAAATCCGATAGATTGCGTTGTACCTGTCATATGTGGGCACTCGAATAAAACGATAGTACCGTTGACTTCTCAAGCGCAGCCAAAATGTACAATGGAAGATAAGAAGATACATGAATACGTCAATAAGGTTCGTAAGGTAGAGAGTGCGATCTCAAACACTAAACCAAAATGGTCTCCTTCATTATCAGTAGCGTATGGAGCGCTTGTATTTACTAGAAACATTTTGGAGGCATTGGATGGAAGACAAGCGACTGTCAACGCGTTAGTAGAAAATAACGATTTTGGGACATCATTCTTTGCTGGTTTAGTAGACGTTACTGAAAATGGTTTTGGCGAGATGAAAAGATATACTAATATCACAAACCATGAGTGTCTATTACTAGAAAGAAGCATTGAACTATTACGAAAGGATGTATCTATGGGCAAAAAAATATTGGAATTGGCATGAATTTTGATGGACTTATTGCGATATTAAAACAACAAATTGCCAACGTATACGATTTTATTAACGTAAAACCTTGGATTTACAAATATTTCATTAAAAACTTAATCATATCACAGAGATCAATTTTTACAAATTCATTAAAATTTGTACTACGAACTTACGAAAAGTATAAAATAAAACTACTTATTTCTAGTTAAGAATTATTTGAACACTTTTCTCCTATTTCTGATTATGTACTTCAATAACCTTAAATTGTTTCCAAAAATAATGGACCTTTACAAATTGATTAACTAATATAACACCGCCTTATATTAAAAAAACTGTCATTCCTGTCTTAGTCAACATAATTTGACAGAAACATGAATTTAAATGGCCTTATTATAAAACGTAGACTAAAGACAGTACCATATTAGTTGTTATCTATGGTTATTAGTGAATATAGTCTTTGGTCAAAGCTTTAAATACAGAATTGAAAATTGATACGTTTAAAAAATTAGTGCCCGAAAATAAGACTGAAGATCTGGCCATAATTTAAAAAAAAAATAGGGTATTAATACAAAAATTGTTTTGGTCGGATAATAAAACAAGTATTGAGTTCAAATTTTCTACATGCCCAGACCCACATTATTATGTAATGAAAAATAAATATCGCAACCAACAAACACAAAGTTTTCTTTTCCACGTTTTATATAGGCGTATTAGTAACATTTATTACTTGATAACCAAAAGCAATACTATAGAACTCTGTTTCAAAAATAGCACATGCCCTCTACGAGCAAGTGTGTAAAGCCCCCGAGGGGACATGAGGCGATTATTTGTATATTTTTTATAAAATGTAGACTGAAGGTAACCAATCAATAATTGGTAGCTTACAGTTATTCAGATTAAATAAAAAAATCAAATTAATCATTCGGATTTAAAAAGATAAAAATATAAGGAAGTGGGTACCTACATAACATATTTTTAATATTGGTGATTTCCTGTATCTACACGACTAAGCCTTATTTGCTTTAACTACACTTAACTAAAGTACGCTTTCGTCTCTTTCATATTCTGTTTAAAGTGAAGACAAACAGCTGAAGTGTACTTTAGTTACAACGGCGCAATTATCCGATGAATAAGGGATTAGATATCCAAATAACGTCATAAGCCCCCATTTTATATAAAAACCCGCTTGACTTATGACCTTTGCTTCCGATGGATGAATTGTTGAAGGCTAGGTTTGTCTATAGTATCGCTCGTTCGTTTTTCCTAAGTCTAAAACATTTGAAACTTAAATAAAATTCTAAAATTAAACTTGACAAATAAAGTAGAATTGATATTCGAATCGTAATAACTTAAATGTAATCAACAAATCTTATACTACGTAACACTGGAACCACAACATCTGAAACAAATGTTATGTGTCAATCATCCACTCATATAGACTAATACTATGAAACTGAAGAGTTTAGTGGACTGTGCTAACTTCAGGAATTAAAAAAAAAGCATTTAATTTAACTTTGATGCCACACACAGCTGGCATAACACTAACCAAAATAATCGTGTGTATGTATGTATATATATAAGTGTATGGTTTGAACATTATGACAAAATTGTATGATTGTATATTTAGATTTTTTTCTAACTTGTGTAATTGATTTTTTTACTGTATTGTGAATATTTGAACAATATAGAAATATGTATTTTTTTGTTTGAATTTATACTTTTTGGCGTGTAAGGGAAAAATGATGATATTAAATTTTAACGATGCGCGCGCACACCGTCACAAAAAACCGACACTCTGAAGTTAAATATAGTCAACATTTTACAATTTTAGAATAAAATTTTTGAAAAGATTTTTATCTTGTTACGCCAAAGAAGTATAACTACTAACGCGTGTACATAAGTACACACACTTTTTTAAATGTAAATTAATGTGTGTAAATGTGATATTTTTCACTTTTTTTTTGTTTTAAACTAAAAAAACTTTAATATTGTTTTTATTGGAGCCGTTAGAATAATTACGATTTAATTACCTATTCCTCATTACTCTTGCTGACTTCACTCCCCGATTCACTGACACTGACCGACGTCTCCTTGAACTGACTGATGAAATCCAGCAATTTCTGAAGGTTCCTCTGCGTCTTGATCTGATCAGCCAAAAGCTGTCTCTTCTCTGCGTTATGCTCATCGAGGTTTTCCTTCAATGATGCAGCGCGAGCTTCCAGTTTACGCAGTTCCACGCAGAGCTCAATGTTCCGTTCTTGAAGGCGTTTGCGTTCTGCTAACTTATCTAAAAAATTTAATTTAAGTACTTTTTTACAATTAATTTAAAATTGTGTTGGGAGAATTTTTGTGCTCTCAGATCATCCCATCCAGTGTTGAGTCCCACGCTTAACGCCCGAACCCAATAATCAATCAACAATCTCAGATCTCAGATTGGTAACAATCAGACCGTGACATGTGACTTGTGTATCTGCATCATAACCAAACCCTACGAACACAATCCATTTTTGGCGACAGATAAAATGCTCTTTGTCGTAAATTTTACCGAGTTTTCACTTATATAGTCAATGTAAACCAAATAAAGTTAATAAAACCGTACAAATAACATTAAATTATACATGTTATGTTTAAAACATAACAAACAGTTTTTTTAATTATTTAAAAAACTGGTGTAAGTTAAAATCTGTTAAAATAATTATGATGTTGTATTATGGATTGAGTTCGGGCGTAAGCCACTAGGACAATACTGCTCAGTGAGTGAGTGTTCCAAAATATATTTAGGTTTATTTTCGGAACTCCAAATAATGTTGGATAAAACAATCGGCTATCCAAATCCTAACCTCGAGAACTATTTGAATTAAAAAATGAGATTCTTAAAAGGCCGGCAACGCACTCGCGAGCCCTGTGGCATTGAGAGTGTCCATGGGCGGCGGTATCACTTAACATCAGGTGAGCCTCCTGCCCGTTTGCCCCCCGTTCTATAAAAATAAAAAAAAAGATACCAATATGAAGTTACTTTTGCTGAAAGCCGCTATTTATTGAGACTCCCCAAAGAATAAATAAATAATAGTAATATGTACCTATTCATAAGGTCTCCTTAAAAACCTTGAGTGCATTAACGGAACCTTACCTGTATAGAGCTGTTTGTGACCGTGGGGTGCGTGGGGCGAGGGGGCGGCGGTGGGCTCGGGCAGAGGGGCGCGGCACCCCGCACAGCACCCTCCCGCCCCGCACCCCGTGTGCTGCCACACGGAGCACGCGCTACACCAAACCAGCAGGGACGGTACATCTGTAATATGTACAATTATATTTTGACCGACTTTTTTAGTATAGTTAATGACTATTAATATTTATTAACGGAGCGTTCAAGTATTACGTAACGCTCCGTAACGGGTTTTTCTGTAAACTGCCCACCCCCAGGTTGTATAACGTCTTACGTGATCGTTACGTACCACCAAGTAACAACTTTTACCTGAAAATCACAATTATGTGGCGTAAAGTACCGCATAAATGCTGAAATTCCTTTGTTATTGGTTAGTATTATTAAAAAAAATATAGAATGGTGCTAACTGTTAATAACGCTCGCCAGTGCGTTGCCAGCCTTTTAAGAATTGGGACGCTGTTTTTTGTGTGACCCTAAGTCGTATTGGTTCTGAAATGTTACGTAACGCGTAGTAAAAAGAACGACTAAACCTCCCGCCCCTATAACGCATCGAAACACCAATTGTCAGTTATTAAAAAAACGGATTCTTAATACAAAGATTCTAATATAAATTTTTATTAAGTTAAAAACGGAATTCTTTAAGTACATACATACAAAAACGTAAATATAATTCAATCATGTAGGTTATGGACATCAGTAAATAAAAAATGCTTCTAAATTTACGGCCCAATTTTGGAGAGCGTAAAACGAATGAGAACTGGCATTAAACTCTCTGTCACTTTGTCATATAAGTAGGGATGTGAAAAAATTATCGATTATTAAAAAAATCGATTTTAATCGATTTTTTTAGAAGTAAAAAACGTTTTTTTTACGCGATTTTTATATTTAAAATAATCGATTAATAATCGATTATTTTTATAATTGAAAATCAGTCATAATCGATTTTTTATCTGCCACCTCCCGACATTATGTCTGGTCTTTTATAACCCGGACCTCGAACTATTAGGGATATTCGATACACAACGATGTTTACAATGCGATACATTGAATCCGATTCTTTGATGATGTATTGATATACTCGATACATTGATTTTTTTTGTAAAACATCAAAAGGATGATAAAAGCAGTTAATTTTACAAAAACTAAAGATTGAATGGATCACTATAATTTAAAAGTAAAATAATTTTTTTCAGCAGCACAAGGCTACATACAATTAAAAAGACAACAAAAATACTGCAATGTGCTACTGAAAAGGAATACACTCAGCATTTATCAAAATCTATCAAAACGAGATTAAGTTAATTTCGATTTTGATTATTCTTAAACGTTAATTTGTCTTTATAATTTCTATTGTTTATTTTTAATTTAAAAAACTATGAAAAATAAAATATTTAGGGTGTTTATTTTGAAATTAATTCAAAAATTAGGAGAAAATCGATTAATAAAAAAATCGATTATTTTTTTAAGAAAAATCGATTATTTATTAATCGATTATTCATGCTACAAAAATAATCGATTAATAAAAAATCGATTTTTTTTTATGCAGAATGTCACATCCCTACATATAAGGTATAACACTTTATAGGTATTTATTACACTTACCATTTCGCCCACACCCATGACATACTTTCTTCGTAGAAAATACAGGTTCTACTGACAATCCAGTAGGGAGTGTTGATAACCATGGTGGTTTGTTGCCCCAAGCTGAAAGTATTGATTTTCTAAATATTATTTTACTAGCTGACCCTGGGAACTTCGTGCCGACTCACAGTAAATTAATATCGTGTTTCAGATCAGCTGAACTTAATTGATGAAATTTATTTATTTATTTATTTACAGCCTTATATCAGAAATACAAAATATGTACATTATAACTGTTATTTTTCTTAATCTACGATAACTGATTATGTGTGCCTACGGGCAAAGGCCTCCCCCATTGTCCTCCATTTTTCCTTATTGTATACCAATCTCGTCCAGGTCTTAGTCTTTCCAGCCATTTCCATGATTTCATCGGCCCACCTTATAGATTGCCTACCTCTGTTGATGTAAATATCTAATAATTTAATAAATGAATCATCAATTATAGATTCGAAAGATGACAAGTTCTAATTGAGGTTTTTAAGATTTAGAACATGGATTTTAATGTCAAAAAACGCTTTTGAATGTTACGTTTTTGGTTTAAAACCTACCTTTAATATCTGTAGAACTTGATGGCGAGCCTTCCCGCGATGATTTGCTCTGATTCTGTAAAGAAAACTTGCTGTCAAATTGTACTACCAACGTTAACGTGCAAAAGTTTATATTACGTGTAACAAAATTGTAATAAATTAAAATAATCGTATTTTCAATTTTCGTACAAGTAACCGAAGCGTACGTATATAATTGAAACCTCTTTAAAGGCCTTCTAATGACGTAATATGTCGTAAAAAACGCCATAAAAAATTAAGTCCGAAAAACATTTAGCTACAGATTAAGGTCGCGGAAGTAACTTTGAACAAAAATAAATAATTTAATATTTAAACAGAATTTATTACCTGTTTCCTTAGTTTCGCTGAACGGGTCTGGGGCGGGTCGTTGTGGTTTTGCAGATATGGAAAATGGTTTAGTTTCTTACGCTTCTGAAAATTGATAAATATTCGATTTACAACCGATTCCTGTATACCAGTGGTATTTGCGATGTTACTACAGTGTATAGTAGATATTTAGATAGACTCGTAGCAATTACGATATGTAAATTGGTAAAAAAAGGCTTGGTATTTTTTGTTTTTAGAAGAAAAAAAATCCCATTTTTTTTTTACTTTTATTGTATTATTTTATTTCTAATACCACAAATATTGTAAAACTGTAATAAATACAATAACGATTTTACTTTCAAATTTTATTTGAACAAGAGTTAATCCGAAAAACTTAAGAGAGCATAAGAGTCCTAATCAAAACATACAAATTATTTCAAATTGGCATAACGTAAAACATATTAAAAAAATATTTTTTCCAGGTACTAATTTTCCGTCTGTGGAACCCAGGCATCTGAGTGCCATTTATTAATTAAGATAAAAGTATTCCTGTGTATTGATAACAATAACTTTGAATAATATCTATGTAAGGGAGCGTTCAAGTATTACGTAACGAATTTTGGGGGGAGGGGTGTCCTTTTGTAAAACGTTACGATGCGGGGATTGAATTACGCGTTAGTTTTAATATTATTTTCGACTTTCCAGTACTTTACACCACATAATGGTAACTTTTAGGTATAAAGAGTCACTAGGTGGTCACGAAACGTTTTACTATACTTGGGTACAGAAAAAGGTTAGGTTAGGTTAGTTGGGGGAGGGGGTTTGTCAATAATCTTCAAAAATTGCGTGACGTAATTCTTGAACGCTCCCTAAAACACTTTACCACATTCTTAAAAATATTTCTTTCACTGTATGTTAATCAGTGTATACTTACAGAAATCATATCAAAACTGCCGTATACAAAATCACTTCTATTGGCACTCGTCGATCTCTTACGACATTCATTTAATCTTTTCTCTATTAACTCCTTTTGTGAAGGCGTCACCAATCCAAGGGCCCTTGAAATTGAAATATTTCGTGTTATGAAAATTATTAAGTAATAATAATCCAGTGGCGCTTTTGTGATTGATTTACGCCCGAACCCAATAACCTATCTCAACCTATAATCCACCATCTGAGATAGTAAACTTAATGCAAATGTTGTAACAAGTGTGCCAATAACCAATCGACGGAATGTAATGGCCATCTGTCTGGGAGGTCGTATCGGTGTCTGTGGATAGACCTCTGTATAAAAATGACAGTTGACGAAAGCTAGAATTCAACAGTTAATTATTTTAACAGATTTTAACTTACACAAGTTTTTTAAATAATTAAAAAAACTGTTTGTTATGTTTTAAACATACACATGTATATTTTAATGTTATTTGTACGGTTTTATTTACTTTATTTGGTTAACATTGATTGATTTGAACAATTTATCCGTCGCCAAAAAATGGATTGTCTTCGTTGGGTTTGGTTATTGGGATGCAGTTAAGAGATCGATCGACTGTTTTCAATCTGAGATTGTGGATTGATTATTGGGTTCGGCCGTTAGACTCGAGACTAATTACTGCAAAAATACCTGATAAAATTCTGTTCAACAAAAATACTTATTTGACATCCGGAAGGTACACTAAGCGCTTGCTATTTGGCCAATAAAAAAAACTTAAAAGAATTGCTTATGCCATAAATATATGTACATATACCAATGGGCCTTTTAGGTCTGGGCCTCGGATTTCTGGCAAGTAAGTTTTGTTTTTTAATGTAACGAACAAACCAGGCAGGAGGCTCTAACTCATGATAAGTGATACCGTCGCCCATGGACACATGGCTTGCAAGTGCGTACAAACCAGGCAGGAGGCTCTAACTCATGATAAGTGACACCGTCGCCCATGGACACATGGCTTGCAAGTGCGTACAAACCAGGCAGGAGGCTCTAACTCATGATAAGTGATACCGTCGCCCATGGACACATGGCTTGCAAGTGCGTACAAACCAGGCAGGAGGCTCTAACTCATGATAAGTGACACCGTCGCCCATGGACACATGGCTTGCAAGTGCGTACAAACCAGGCAGGAGGCTCTAACTCATGATAAGTGATACCGTCGCCCATGGACACATGGCTTGCAAGTGCGTTTACGGCCTTTTAAGAACTGGTATGTTCTTGAAGGACCCTAAATCGAAATGGTGGTTGTTGCGCAGAAAAAACAACCTTAAAAAGTTAAAAGTAAGGATCAACCCTCTGTGCCTGACACACAGCGTCGACTTCTTGGGTCTAAAGCATGCCTCCACTTATATCCACTAGTGTTGGCCTAGTGGCTTCAGCGTGCGACTCTCATACCTGAGGTCGTAGGTTCGACCCCGGCTGTGCACCAATGTACTTTCTTTCTATGTGCGCATTTAAGATTTGCTTGAACGGTGAAGGAAAACATCGTGAGGAAACCGACATGTTTTAGACCCAAAAAAGTTGACGTCGTGTGTCAGGCACTGGAGGTTGATCAGATGAAACAGATTCAGAAATCTGAGGCCTAGACCTAAAGAGGTTGTAGTGCCGCTGATTTTATTTTTTTAATCCAACAATCTAATATATGAAATTTATATATTGCTTGTCAATGGGATTCCTAAATACAAAAATTGTAGATTATATAAATCTATTATTGGTTAGAACTATTGATTATATACAAAGAATTTATTTAAATGATAGGAATAACGTCTTAATCTAAACATTTTTTAAAGAAAAATATTTACCTCATGAATATTTCTTTAGACACTGGCTCACCAGGTTGAGGTAAAGGGGGTGGTGATGAGACCAGTGATGGTTCACTAAGACCTGAAGAATCTGAATCCGTTCTATCTGGCCAGTCATTGTCGTCAAATTTTGTTCCCCTTAAACAGTTTAGGAATATGAATCAATCCTGTTTTTACTAGTATGTGGAGAGATACAAATTTTTAGCTAAATTTGATTAGTAGTTTCCAAATCAAAATTAATTTTGTAGTATGAGTAACAATGTATACTTATGATCATCAATAGAAGAATTAAACAAACTTCAAGTCAAAACATAGCTCATGCTATGATGACATATGTCAAAAACTTACTGTTGGATTTGATATACAAAGGTCCCAAAATTTAATTGTAACCTTTGCCCAAAACATGACTTCATCATCAACAGCATGACAACGAAAATATTATCTAGATCTAGAAAATTATAAATTACTCACTAACATACAAAAATATAAACATACTCACAGAAAAACTTCCTTCACTTTATTCAGCGCATTTTCAAAATTGCTGTTTTCACTGTGAACTAAATTTTGCAATTGTGGAAAATTTTTCACAAAACTCTCTTTACAGTGGACATCATCATTGTTTATATGGTCATGGTCAAGTGGCTTTGTTTCATTTTCTGTATCTGACACATTAAGATGTTCATTAGTGTTTTCAGTTTTTATTTGAATCTCATTAAGAACTGAGGGTTTGAGGAGAGATGTTGATCGATTCCTGTTTCTATATTGTAATTGATGATCACGTAGTTGTTGAGCAATATAATGATTGTCTTTGTCTATACTGACTTGTTTATTTTTTGCTCTAAGTCTTTGTTGATACAATTCTAATTCTCTTCGCAGTCTATCCACCACTAATTTCTATAACAAAATAATAATAAAAAATAAAATAATAGAATTAAAAATAAATTGTTAAAATATTTTACAAAATATTATAATTCGAATATACTTACTTGGGAACGTCCTATAGCTACTATTTCCTGTTCAGCTTCATTTACTTTATTTTTTAAGTCTGAATTCTAGAAAAACATGTTTATATATGAAATACAGGAAAATTTATCAAGGTTTTTTTAAAAATAATTCTATATATATAGTCAGTTTATACATTTAACATGATATGAATAAGGATTGACAGTGAAACTAAAAATAATCTCAAATAAAAAACTGAACTTACACTTTCGTCTTCTTGTAGACGCGCTACCCAGATCTGAAAAAATAATATAACTTCATTAAACATCTATTTACAATTAAAACCATTTTTTATTGTATCTATATTATATTATTGTAAAATACCTGATGTACTTGAATGGCATTTTTTAGCTCTGTTTGGGTTCGTCGAATATCTTCTTTTATTTCATTCGATACTTCCATAGTTATAACACAAAATTATTAAGTATAAATTTTTAATCTAACAAAATGAAATTCTTAATCACGCGTCCTTTAATCATAAATAACACGCTGTTTACTCAGCTAATACTTGCTGTAAATTGAATTTAAAGTTTAGTTAATTCAAATAAAGGTCATAATATAATACTTTACACTAGTTTTATGAAGATTTTAAACTAAACACAAAACGAAAAACAAAATTAAAGACGTAAGTAATTTCACAGCAATTTTAATGTTCACTCAAAACTCAAAAGTCAAACATTTGTGCGAAAAATATAAAAATTACAGGATAATTCCACAGATCAAGATATAATTATACTAAAGTTAACACTACAAACATACTCTGTGTTTTTTTAATCTGTTGATAGTATTCTCTGATAAATTAATAACATAATCTTAATTCCGCAATCCGCATTGACTGTTATCTTTAATATTGCATCGATCTCTGGTTCTGATTCTGCTGGTGGGAACCTTTAAAAAGCGCGACTGACTTAAAAGCATAATTTTATTTTTTTTTCTATAAATAGAGATTTTTTCACAGTTAAAGTGAATTTAAATATTGCTATTAGCTCCTGAAAAGCACAATAGCAATGGAGGTTGTGGAGGTAAACGAGGGGGGCTGGTCTACTATGTTATCTACACTGATGGGAGCAAAGCAAGTGATTATGTACATGCTGCTCTATATGATGCACAAGCAAAATTTTCTTCAAGTTTTATTCTGCATGAACCCTGCTCTATATTTACGGCAGAGGCATATTATACAGTCAACAGTGTATCAGGCATCAATCCGTATTAGCGAAATCAATAATATTAAATATTTTTGAAGTTATACTTCTTTAGGCGCGTATGAAAAATTGATGAGAGTGAAATTTTACGAAGCGCGCGCACCGTGACACAAAATTAACAGAATGAAGTTGCCCACGTAAGATGCTACGGCATTGAACATAATTCAAAAACAACATTCGAATAATAATAGAATTTATGTTACACTTAATGTAAGAGAATAATAATAAATATTTATTTATTTAATTTTTCAAAGTAAACTGAACTTTATTGACTATAATGACTCCTTTTCCAGTCTTTGATTATTTAATTGTAATTAATTATTTGCAGGCAATCAAAAACTATTTTTAATAATGCCAAAGAAGTATAACTTCTTACGGGCGAACATATGTACATGCACCCTTTTTTTAATCATTTCTGATTCCTTGAGTTTGATAACAGCTTTAACTACCCTGACAGGGGTTGGACCTTAAAATCGGTCGCCCGAATCTGATGATACTGATTATGCAGTCTCGGGGCACCTTGATTGGAACACCTCCAAATGATTTTTGCTGCCGGAAATGCGTCTAAGTATTTAAAAAAAAAGGGTGCGTGTACTTATGTACGCGCGTAAGAAGTTATACTTCTTTGGCATTATTAAAAATAGTTTGGCTTTGTTCCACCTCCAGTTTTTGATGTTTCACAGCGATAAGATGACAACTCTTTTTTTGTATTCAATTTAGTGCACTTACACTGATTCATCAATTGTTTTTTGTCTCTTGTCCTTATATTTGCTAGAGAAAAATTACATGTTTTGATTAAACAATGTGGTCATTTTTTTAATCAAAACATTACTCGATAATAATAATACAAACTGATAGTTAACCTCAATTGTAATGAAGCACTTAGGAAGGTTGATGAGCACAGTTTTTTCACAAATATTAATTAGTATTGGTTTAATTATTCAATTTAAATCACTTCTGATTATATATAATTCAAAAAGCATTGCTAAATTTCTTTGAAAAAATAATTAAAACTCCTTTATTTGTTTAAAAGGTAAATGACAAATGTCATTATGGTCATTCAAAATTCTTGGCATACGAACTTCACGCATATTCTATTTCTTTTTACTTGTAGATTGTCTTATTCCTATCTCGCTCGCGCACGCTATAATCACACTCCTAATTTTGTGTCACGGTGCGCGCGCATCGTAAAATTTCACTCTCATCAATTTTTCATAACGCGCCTAAAGAAGTATAACTTCAAAAAAAAATTAAAGTTTTGTGAAATTTGTAAACAATCCGCCATTTTCTACTTTTCGATTGGTTATAAGAGATGTGACATTCTCGGTAAATTAAATTCATCTTTAAATCATAATGTATGTAAGTTATGTTTATTTCTTACTGTAAATAATATAAAATTATAAGTACATATGTATACAAATCGTATTCTATATGATATATATTTTATTAATTACTGTTCCTTTCCATAATGTAGTATTTTTTATTAGAGATAGTTTTATAACCGGCTGATCCTATCCTTTATCCGATGTAATTTTCATTCGTTGTAAAATTCTTTTTCTTTACTATTCCGTTTTCCTTACCTTTGTATGTGGCAATACGCTCTGCGTGAATCTATTTATATAAAAAAAAAAAAACAAACGAAATGGAAAATGTGGTTCCATTTTTCTGATATTGTTTGACCGACTTCATTAAAATTTATCTATAAAAATTTAAACTTATTACTGTACGTTTAATTATTAATTGTAGGCAAGTAGGTTTTGTAATTTTTAGTAGTAATTGACTTAATATTTTGTTTATTACAGTGTTCAACGTTAACATACAAAATTGACTAAACCTGAGGTCTTGAAACTAAAGCTATTATTGTAATTATTTTGTAAAACTCTCAATCATGTCCGCGAAGCGGCAAGCTACGACTGAATTAAATCACAACAACTGGGATCAAGAAGATGACGAACCGGAAGAAACCGAAGGTTTTAAAATTGCATCAAAAGAAGTTCTTGAAAAACGTGTTATTAGGACCGCTAAACGACGATCCAACGTATCTTCTAGCGAGGTAATTTTTAAAGTTATAGATATTCACCTTTTTCATTAACATACAGTACATCTGTAATTCACAGTAATTACTAAAAATTACACCAAACTTAGACATTAGTAAAATGGTATATTTGATATTACAGGGTCAGAAAAGTGTATTCAGTGGCTTTGGAGGCTTCAATAAAACACAAAAGACTTCCTTTGACTTTTTGGCAAATTTAACTAATGGTAAATCAACTAATACTGGTGTCAGTAATCAAGAAGGATCATCTCTTTTTTCATCAAAGACATTTTCAAATCAAAGTACAGCACTATTTACACCATCAGATATATCTAAAAAAATAACTAATACAGATGTCAATAATCAAGAGGGATCATCATCTCTTTTTACATCTAAGACATTTACCAATCAAAGTAAAGGGTTATTTACACCATCAGACGTCTCTAAACCAGGACCAACAAAATTTGAAAATCCAAGTCTGCAAACAACTTCTAGTTTAACCAAATCTACTGTTGCAGAAAATCAAACTGGTTTTAAAAACAGTGAAAGCCCATTCAAAAGTCATACTACTTCAACACCAATCAACAATTTGAACTATTTAACTAAACCAAATTCTGGAAATGTTGGTGACCCTGTATCACAAACAACAAATAATATATTTAGTGGCCAAGCTGAAAACAATTTTTCTAATAAATCTATTAAGACGTCACCATCTTCTAATACATTATCTGCTTCCCCAAGTAATAAGTGTCAATCTATTGAAGAAACTAATAAAACTGAAAAGAAAGATACCGTAGATGAGTCCCAATTTATCACTATAAAGTGTGATAAAAATGTTGATGGAAAGACGTTAAAGTATTATAAAAACTTGGCAAGCTTAAATATATCTTTATATAAATGGGTAAAAAAAAATATTGATGAATCACCAATCTGTATTCTTTCTCCAATTTTCAAAGACTATGATAAATATCTTAAAGATATTCAAGATGAATATTTTAACAGAGATGGAGCTCAAGGTGATTTTGCACAGAATTTGAAAAGTAATCCTAAAGTACCATCTGCTGCACAAGCAAATAATGTGGTTTCCCATACAGCTGTTACTTCTAATAAGTCTACAAGTTCAACAACAGAAGAGAAGAAATCCTCAAGTATGGTATTTGGAACACCTTCAACCAATAATACCCAGACAAAAAACATGGGTTCACTTTTTGGAAATGTGCCAAACGCGCAGAGCTTCATAACATCTCCGAGTACTGGTGCACAAGCAAGTAATATACTTTCTCATACCTCTGTTACTACTAATGAGTCTACAATTTCAACACCAGAGGAGAAGAAATCGTCAAATATGGTATTTGGAATACCTGCATCAAATAATACCCAAGCAAAAGACATGGGTTCTCTTTTTGGTAATGTGCCAAAAGTGCAGAGTTTCACAACATCTTCTAATACTGCTGCACAAGCAAGTAATATACTTTCTCATGTGCCTATAATTTCAACACCAGATGAGAAGAAATCCTCAAGTATGGTATTTGGAACACCTTCAACCAATAATACCCAGACAAAAATCATGGGTTCACTTTTTGGAAATGTGGCAAACGCACAGAGCTTCATAACATCTCCGAGTACTGGTGCACAAGTAAGTAATATACTTTCTCATACCTCTGTTACTACTCATGAGTCTACAATTTCAACACCAGAGGAGAAGAAATCGTCAAATATGGTATTTGGAATACCTGCATCAAATAATAGCCAAGCAAAAGACATGGGTTCTCTTTTTGGTAATGTGCCAAAAGTGCAGAGCTTCGGAACATCTTCTAATACTGCTGCACAAGCAAGTAATATACTTTCTCATACTTCTGTTACTTCTCATGTGTCTACAAGTTCAACACCAGATGAGAAGAAATCCTCAAGTATGGTATTTGGAACACCGACAACCAATAATGCCCAGGCAATAAACATGGGTTCACTTTTTGGTAATGTGGAAAAAGCACATAGCTTCACAACATCTTCGAGTACTGGTGCACAAGCAAGTAATATACTTTCTCATACCTGTGTTACTTCTAATGAGTCTACAATTTCAACACCAGAAGAGAAGAAATCCTCAAATATGGTATTTGGAATACCTGCATCTAATAATACCCAAGCAAAAGATATGGGTACACTTTTTGGTAATGTGCCAAAAGTGCAGAGTCCCACAACATCTTCAAGTACTGCTCAAAATCCAAAACTTGGCTTTTCATTTGGGAGTTCTTCAGTAGCTGGTTCAACACCAACTACAAGCAGTGGCGGATTTACCTTTGGCATTAATAATTCACCTCAATCAACCTCATTATTTGCAACAAAACCAATTGTTTCTAATATTAATGGCAATTCACAATTCTCATTTGGCACTGGTAAACCTTTTAGTTTTAATTCAAATATACAAAGAAATGAGAGTAATGAGGTTACTAACACTAAGGAAGATGAAGATGAACCTCCTAAAGTTGAATACACACCAATGGTGGAAGAAAACAGTGTTTTTGACAGAAAGTGTAAGATATTTGTTAAAAAAAATGGTAACTTTGTTGACAAAGGTGTAGGTACATTGTATATAAAAAAAATTGAAGATACCAGTAAGTACCAACTATTAGTGAGAGCAAATACATCTTTAGGAAACATTTTGCTCAATTTAGTTCTTGCTCCATCTGTACCTACTCAACGTATGGGCAAGAATAATGTTATGCTAGTTTGTATTGCCACACCTGATGCGAAACCACCTCCAACACCTATTCTTATTAGGGTAAAGACATCAGAGGAAGCAGATGAGTTATTAGAGAAATTAAATAACTATAAACAGTAGAATTAATTGATCAGATTAGTATATAACTTGAATACCCAGTGCAAACATTCCAGATTATCTTGGAGGGACCTTGGCTGTCCAGAACATAAAATCCAAAATGGAAATTAAAAAGTAGTGGATAGTGTCCAGTTACAATAAAAAATTATAAGTAGTTAATTGCATTTTCAAGAATAATTAATTATTTAATAACTAGATGTCAATTTGTAACCCAATTACATAATACATTACACACATAGTAATGTTTAGTCAGTAACAAAAAGGGCTAAATTGGAATGGGTCTGTGTCCATAATTCTATAAATCTGGCTGCCCGGGGTTTCTATTTTCACCTTAATCATGAATTTAAATTAAGAGAAAGTATGATATATGCCTGTATGGACTGAATTCCTGTTGTGAAACAATATTATTGTTTTGTTACTGAACAAGTGATTTACGATATGATTATGTAATACATATAATTTGTTTTTTTTGTAAATAAAATACAGTATTCCAAATAATTTTTTATTTAAACAATAATCATTATTCCATATTGTTAAAATGTATTAAATATTTTAGATATTTTTGTAATATATTAATAACTACAAATATTGTTTCAATTTTAAATATAATTTAACTTTGTACAAGATACTTCATAAGACATACATATTTTAAATTATGATACAATCAAGCTATTTGTTGATATTTGACCTAAGCCCATTTGAATTCTTTGCATGTGAGGTTCAACACTAGTTTGAAATATTTTTTGATATTTTAGTGGTAATTTCAATTTTATCTGTTCCATTGTTCCTTGCAAAACACTTAGTTCATAAGCATTTTGATCTGAATTTGAAAGGCTTTTAACTTGTAACATTAGGGCTGTTAAGTCGGTAATTAGGTCTACTGTATTTCTATCTTTTACTGCACCATTATTGTGATTCTGTACTAGTTCAGAAGCTTCTTCACGGCATTTTTCTCTTAAGTGAGACGGTGCTAACATAGCAGCTAGACTTGGACCTGGAGCTATCTGTTGGCAATACACTTGAATATCATTGATATATCCTTGCAAGTCCATGTTCATTCGCTCAAGCTCAATTACAATTGCAGCATATTTCCTTTCAAAGTCCTCAGGTGTTTTTTGGTCAAAAGATTTTCGTTTTTCAGCCTCACTATTTAAATCCTTTAATTTATTGATCTTATTACGTTTTATTTGCAATATCTTTGTTAATTTTACAATTAATTCCAGAAAACCAAATGGATAAGGACCAACTGTATTATCAATTTGATTTAAAATATCATTGCACCCTATCATTGGGTCTCCTTGATTATTCTTTGTTAATGATAATTGGTATGAGTTTAATGCATCTTGCAATGGACGAGGTCTAAATTTTTGTGTTATACTGGATAAAAGTATGGAATCAGGATTATCATTTGATAGAACTTCATAATCAGGGACTGAATGTGTTCCTAATTTAGGCCTTTCAAATGTTATTCTGTAGGTATTATTAGATGTATCAACAGCCTCAATAACACCTGTAAATAGTCCATCTTGTGGTCTACGTAAGCGAGCTGTTACTTTTGTTCCAACAACCAACTGCATGGGAATCTCATTAGGTAAATCTTTGACACATATGTCTGATGTTTTCCTTTGTTGAATATATCGTATTAATCTCCTTTTTCTCTCTAATTCTCTTCTTTCCTCTTCAAAAAAGGCTTGTGAGCACCTACGAGGTTTACCCATCATTCGTTTTATTTTTGCCCATTGCAGTTTAGAGAATTTACTTGATTTTAATTTAGGAAAAGACTCTTTAAGACAAATCATAAAGTCATTCTCTCCATCGAACAAAGCTTTATCTATATTACTATAAAAGTACTCAAAACATACCCATTTATGTGCCTTAGGTAGTTTTAAAAGATTTCTTAGTCTCATACCAATTCTTTGTCCACTTTTGGGATCTGGAGATGCAATATCTACCTTTTCTTCATTTTTTTCAATGGACTTTTGAGGTTTTACAGGAGATTTAGAAGGTGATTTTTGTTTTTTGAAATTGGATATTTTAGAAGGAGTTTTAAGTATTTTAGGGCTACGTTTAGGAGACTGTCTAGGAGGAGAAGTATTTACAAAATCATCAACAAATATGAATCGATTTTTTTTGCGTATGCGAGCAGGCATCCCTCTAGCATTTAGCTTTTGCATTGGTTCACTTGGCGTTGGTTTTGGCGGTAATTGAGTACCCACTCTGTGCAGTCCAAGTGCAGCAGGGCCGAACGCAGGCGGAACATCATCTTCTTCGGGTAAGTCAATATCCATAGGCTCATCCTTCACATTTAGTAATTTCGTAGGTTTTTCAACAGATTGCTTCGCTGTTGATGAGAATAAAAAATCTTTTAGTAATGTAATGACTTAATAATTAATCATACCAATACATATATAAATTAACTGTCGATGTTAGCAAGTTCACATGATTTAAAAATAGTTTAATTAATTGTGACAATTCTGCAGCAAATTTAAATTTTTTCAAATTTTGAATATTGTGTTTAACGAATACGAAACCCCTGTCAGTTAATAAAATCCGTTAACACATTATTAAAACACCCAGAGATTTAAAATGGGTAAAGTGGTATATAATAAATTACAAGTCTTTTGTGGATTGAAGCATATAAATATTTAGCAAAAAAATATTTAAACAAACTTACTTTCCCACTTATCCGCCATGTTGACGTCGTAAATTTGATTTTGAAGAAGAAAGCGCCACCGCCGTGTCAGATCACAGACCACAGTAAATGTCACAAATATAAACAAAAACTACTGATACTGACATAGAGCATAGGGGTAGTACCAAAAACTTCAATTTAAAAAATATGGGGTACCTATAAAATGGTTCTCCGAATTCCGATGCGCCATGAGAACCATGCCAAGCCATGAGATCAGAGATAGTAATAGTAGAGCTAAAGCTGTTGGACAGTAGACAAACTGATAACAGAAATTTATAGGCGTCCCTAGAAAATATTAAAAGATGGTACTTTAGTAAATTGTGAGTTTATTAAAATTAAGTACATAGTACAAACTTAACATATTTCTTTCTCTATGTGAACCCGACTATATAAGTACCTCATAAATTGACAATTGTATAATTTGAAACACAATTTGGTTACATGATTATTCTACACATAATACGCGCCCAACAAATTCAACCATTTTAGCTTTTTGGAACAATCAATAAGACTTAATTATAACTGCCCACAATATGTACCGGTCTCGATAGTGCTTTTTCCAAAAATAAGAGATATTCAATTATTGTCCTGTGTATTATTTATTACTTTTATTTATTTAATGGTAGCTGAGAAAAGATCATTTGACTAGGCCTTGGAATAATTGATTTTAATTTCAGTTATTAGAATCATATTATATGAAGGTAATTAAATTTTTTAAAGGGATATTTAATGTTCCTTTTAATAGTTTGCGTAAGGTGATATCAGCAAGATAACACCAATAAAGTTTGTAAGGATAAAGAGGCGTTCACTCATAATTTCATCAATCAATCTTAAATCAAATCAGCCTAACCCAAAAACATTAAAAAGATGTTTGACGAAATTAACTTCATAGAGTTTTTTAGTGCCTGTGCCAAAATTTTGAAAATAATATTATGTCTAAAAAAAAAATATTTTGAAAAATCTTGCAGTCACGCAACTCACGTATACGATAAAAAAATTGGGAACTAAGGAACGTGTCACGTTCACTTTAGGTTAAAAAGTTTTGTGTGATTGATTGACGACTGGTTACTGTTTTCTATTAACATTTCTTAAATCTCTATGTTATATACAAATATCTACTATTATTAATTGACTTCTTCAATATGTTATTATTGTGGGATATCTACCGTCTATTAGTACTTTCTTGGTTAACATAATGACTTTCTTATCAAACGTTAACGATTAATAATCAATATATATAGCATGCACGTAGGCATTTACAAAATACATTCGGATAAAACAGTTAGTGTTACAGGTTTCAGGATTACTTCATAACTAAGAGGAAAGGTTGTTCCACATTTTTATAGTGTTTCTTCGTGGGATATCTATTATCTACATGTGACAGCTGATGTTGACTTTTGTAACTTGTTGATTAACTAGTTAGACTTTCTAGTCTCTGGTAGTTGGTATATTACATTGTACAATAACATTAAAGAAAAATCCCGACGTGTTCAATATTGAATATTCCATAATTCTAATTGAAAATGTTTAAGTATTTTATATAATAATTTATATATGAAGCAACATGAAAAAGATATTGTTTAATATATGTTTTATGGGACTTCTCTTTATCGGACTTGTTAATGGTGAGTTGTATGATATATTATTATGACACGAATGTGTTTTCAAGGTAAAAAGTGAAATGTATTATCTCACATCCATTTTTTATTTAACGTAGAAATCACAATACTATAACAACATTAATGTATAATATCTGAATTGACTTTGCATTATAGCTTTTATCAATTATCATAAGTAAGTTTACTGAAAGTAAGTATAAGTTTATTGAAAGTAGATTAAGCAGTGACATATTGTTAATGAAATATCTTTCTTGAACTTTACGAGACAGTTATAAACTCAGGAATAAGTAGCTGACGTATGAACTTACTCTTCAGGTTTAAACAAGAGGTGTATGAGATGTAGATCAAGAGGAGAACTTGGGTCATGTGGAGACCCATTTCCAACAAATGTTACAGAAACAGAGACTCAGATAGGGATACATGTTGTTGCATGCCCTTCTGGATGGTGTGGAAAAATGATTGAGGGTACCACAGGGGCATTTAGGACAGATGGTAAGTTACCTAGCTAAATGTGAAGTTATTTCTGTTATCGGTTGCGCCTATGGGCTTAGGAGTAAGGCAAAATTTCTGCTTTGAATAATTTGAACTGTTCTTAACAATGGTCAAAGAACATATAAGCAATGTACGAGAAGACAGGAAGATTTGAAATTATATAAATACAGTAATACCCCGGACTTACGCGATAGGTGGGACTGAGCGCTATCCGCGTAAGTCGAATTCGCGTAAGGCGGGGTACAATTTTGCATATAAAGACATACAAAGTATGTTTAATTGGGACTGGAGACTAAATAAAACAATAATTTAGGAAATAATTAGTATCTTATTCTAGATAATATGACAAACTATATTAATAGGGTGTATAAACACAATCCGAAGTTATTTTGATGTAGAAGGTTTCATAAATTGTAACAAAGTCGTCTGACGTGTCATTGATTTTTCTTCTCCCGTAACATCTCCTCGTAGCATCCTAGTAATTTTTTTATTCGATGTTATGTAACAAAAATGCGCTCTTCATTGGAGTCTGCTTTCCAAAATTGTTAACCCTTTTTCAATCGAACTGAGGGCTTCTGTCAAATTTCCAACTGTCATTTGATCTTCTAATTGAACTGGATCCAAAGAATCATGATTATCAATTTCTTCTTCTTGTTCACGCATTGTTATTTGTTATGAGCTCATCAATTGTACGCTCCTCATTGTGTGAATCCAACAGCTCTTGAACATCATCACTATCTACATCTAAATTTATTTGTCTACCAAGTTCGACAACGTCTTTGATCACATTGCAAATTTCATCAGGCCCTGGCACTGATTTCGCCTGAGTCTCGTAGAGAAAAAAAATGGACCTTGAAAAAACGAAAAGACGAGAAAATTAAATCGCGTAACTCCGAATTCGCGTAAGTCGAGGTAGCGTAAGTCGGGGTATTACTGTAATTTAAAACTTGAATGAATTGAAGATAAAATAGATGATGATTCCTACAAAATTTTAATTAATCTGCTAAGTTTTATTTTTTTGATAACACTTACCTAAAGTTTTTTTTAAATATGTGTATGTGTATCAAATTATTACTAGTTAAATAATGATACATTTAAAAAAAAAACAAAAACGACTCAATAAGGCTTGCTTGTAGAGTATTTTTAAAGAACATGTTTAAAGTATTCTACAAGTAACACTACTTAACATCAAAGTTTGGAAAGCACAAGTAAAATAAATATAAGCAATGGCCATACTTATGATAGATGTGTTTATAAGGTGTTTGTTTTGTTACGAAATTGAAAAGAGTGGCTATCTTATTTGTTTTGTTTATTAGTAGTGGTCTAAAAGTAGAATACTTATACTATCTAATTTAGTAAATAAAAAAAAGTAAGACCTTGTATGCTAGAAACATGGTTTGAGTACATCTCCAAATTATAACATATTTCCAGATTATGGTGCGGCAACACAAAGAATGTGTCTTCAGAGATCTCCAAGCGATGATGAGGAAAGATGTGCTTACACTATGTGGAACCATAGAAAAGTGTACATGTGTTTCTGTAATGGTGACCTTTGTAACGCTGCAGACAAAGCTACTTCATTCCATTCTATGCTCCTCATAAGTATTCTGGTTCTTATTTACAATGTTACAGCTGCTATGTAGTCTTTCTCCCTTTAGATTAAATAGAATTGTTGTAATGACTCAAAATATGAATACTCTGTGATATTTTATATGTACTTAATATCATTACTGAATTTATATGTTGATACTCCATTAAATTGTATACCTTTACACTATTTGGTAGTTGCAAATGGCTTTTAACAAGTGGTTTTTGTGTCGTCTTTAAAACAGATTTCCCTCTTTAAGTATTAATTGCTTAACAGTATTAGCAATTATTGCTACTTGCATGATCCTTAGATCTTAAATGTTGTAAAGACGGCAAGGGCACAATTAAGACTTAAGACTTAGTGATAAGTAGGGCTACCATATGCCAAAAATATTAATTTTGACATACAAAAGTCACAGTACTGACCACACCAAGTGATTCTGAAATTCTGAATCCCTACCATATACCCCATACATACCCTAAGAGTATGTATTTGGAGTATACTATTTGGTATACTATTATGACATAACTATACCATATAGTAGTCGCCTGGACAAGATCTCTTAAAAGGGATAAGGGTGCTTTCCTGATTATTTCAGTTATTGTAATGCAAAAAGTTTTACCTAAATATTTGTATTGTCATAAAACCAGCTTAATGTTCAATTTAAGTTCCTGTGCAACTCTTTGATTATACCCAAGAATTCTCTCAAGACCATTTAGATTATGTTAGAAAACACATTTAGGAGAAACAATACACTGATAACTTATTGTAACTTTTGTATTGTAACTTATAATCTTAATTATATTTTTATCTTCTAATATTTTAATAAAACAACTTAGGTCATGTCATTAACTACTCGTTAAATAGCTATTTGTGAGATCTGATATACTCCGTCCATTTCTTGTGATAACTTTAAAATATTTTCTTAAGCATTTTTTACTGTTATAGATAAAATGTAAATAGATTAGGAGCAATTTGATATGTTCAAGTGTATTTATAATAAAAGATTTTTAGTATTTGTTGACTTATCTACTTTCAAATTTTTGATATAGTGTAGTATCTGACGGTTCGAGTAAGTTGAATTGTCTAATTTCATAAATATATCTAATATATAAAATTCTCGACCGATTCTTTTGAAAATTTTTATACATATTGAGTAAGTCTGAGAATCGGCTACTATCTTTTAAACCCCTAAGTTATAAAGGTGTCCACCCCAAAAAAAAAATTTTTTTGTTTTTTTTATGATACAGAATACAAAAATACATACAACCCTTAATTTTCACCCATCTACGATCAACCCCTCTTTTTATTATACTAGATAGTTATTTTTATTGAACTAAAAAAATGTTTCCTAGAAATAATATACATAGCAAACAACGTTTGAAGGGTCAGCTAGTATTTTTATATTTAAATCATCCAAACAGCAATTACCACCATAGTAACAAATATTAGAATAATTTTAGTCCATGTTTTAATGCCAGGTAGTTTTTGCGGAAATTAAAGGATTATACAGGATGTCCCAGAAAGAATGGATAATTCTTGAACCCCGCACGGGACAGCTCTCCAGGGCTCAGAAAAAAATATTTAAAAAAATTATTCCAAGTGATACCCAAAATATAATTTTTTTTTAGAAAAACATAGGTTATTTGTACTTTACTTCACAACGGCCACACAGTAATGAAATTCGTGGTGTTTTTGGTGTCATCTTATTCCTGATAGACTATACTATTAAATAATATAAGTATCTATGATACTTTTTTCAAAAACAAAATAAGATCTTGAGTTTTTGTCCTGAAATTTGATTCCAAAAAAAAATTTGGCATAGTTTGAGAGTGTTTCTTGTAAAAAAAAGTATGAAAATTTGACATAGTAATCTTAATCCAAATGTTGTAACAAGTGTGGCAATCACCAATCGACGGATTGTAATAGCCATCTGTCGATACAAGCTATCCATGGGAGGTCGTATCGGTGTCTGTGGATAATAGACCTTTGTATGAAAATGATAGTTGACGAAAGCTCGATTTCAACAGTTATTTTAACTTACACCAGTTTTTTAAATAATTAAAAAAACTGTTTGTTATATTTTAAACATACACATGTATATTTTAATGTTATTTATATTTAACGCTTAAGTATGACTTCCGCATGTCAACAACAATACTAAGGGTTTTGACATACGCAAGTTCTATTCGAAAATCGATGGTTCGGGATACTTCTGTCTTCTTCCTCGGGGTGGAGGGCAAACCAAACATACAATATTTAATGGAGGTAATTTATTGAAATTTTTGTACATGCTAAATGCGGTTAAACGGCCAAGTATGTCGTATACTCCCAAGACGATGGGGTTTTAAGTTATTTTTCACGCGATGCTGTTGGTTGGTCAGCAATGATTGTATGTGAGGTACGTCGTGAAAATATAATTCTCCGTGGTGTTTTGTTTTTTCTATGGCAAATATTGCTTCGGAGCCTTGAAGAAGATATGGGTCCAAGAAATCATCTGAAAACATAGTATAAATATGATATATATATAAAAGTTCAGAACATCAGAATTTCAAGCAAAATATTGATGATTTTTATCAAACAAAGGAATATCGAATAAAGGAATGTACAGAAACACCATATTTACTAGGGTAAGCCGTTTATGGAATTTTTTTAAATATTTTTGTTGTTGTCTACCGAAATAAATAAAATGAGTAGTATTTTTATCTTAAGAATTATAGAAGTGTTAGGCCTCTTCCAGGCAGTAATGCACGATGTCGTTTTAAAGTAGATTTGGTAAATATTCTATATTTTCAGCGCCGCGCTTGGTTGTAACCAATTAACGCCGATATTTTCCCGAGTTACTACTCGAGAAAAATTAACCAATCGTGGGGCTTGTCAATAAAACTGTTATTTACAAAACTACATTAAATATATATAAATTTTATCTATTTTGATTATGATTACCTGATTTTTAACAAACTCGTATTTATTGTGTAAATCATCATGACTTACAATAGAAGTGTTATTTATATTCTAATTATTAAATACAATAAGTATTTATCAACTATATCGATATAACCATAAATATAAATATTAATTATGGTAGATATAGTAACGTAATCGTTATACAATTTTATAAAACCTAACAGAAGTGAGCTTAGAATCTAAAAAACTAGTTATGTTTTGAAAACGTTATCTGTCGGAAGATGAGATAAGAAAAGTAATGTAAACCGCAAGCCCACCGCATAATTAATGAATCATACTAATACTTCAAATTCAACTAACGGTCCTTTTACAAATAAATTTTAATCGCGATTGCCTAAAAACTGAAAGAAAAGAACGGTAAAAATGGATTAGGTATGGACGGTCCGCAAGAAGATGGAAACTGTTACCGGGCCCAGTGATGCCACCACAAAATATTCCTAGGACCAACTTCAATTACCCCTAAATATCAACTAAAACCCCTAAAACTCTCCTTGAACACGGTTTGAAAGGTAATTTCATATATTTATTAAGAACACTTTCAAGTAGAATAAAATAGCTGTTATATTAATATGTATTAATGATTTGATTTCTTAACTTTTGTTTCTTTAAATTTGGTATTTATAACTTTTCTTGGCATATTGTTTTTTCTACAAAATTAGTGCTTTTTGTACTTTTCTAACCGTTGAGCTATTAGTTATTGCCACGCTTAGAGTTTACATTTGATTTAGTTTGTTGGTTAGGTTCGAGCATTAATATTAGGTCCTTACATATGAAATTGGCGTATTTCGTACTGGCCACTTTAATCACGATGTTCTCCTCTTTGGTAAGGAATTCCAAATTCAAATTTGTACAGCTATTTACTCATGTATTTGTGCTTCGATGACCGTCATTCATTTGCTTTTTTCTTCTGTTTTTTTCTGTTTGCGTCACTCATTTTACAAAATGGAAAACTTAAAGTATCGCATTATTTACGAGTACGAGTTCCGCCGTGGCACTAGTGCTGCGGAAACGACTCGAAGGGTGAATGATGTGTATGGCGGTCATGTTGCAAAAGAAAACACAGTTCGTTTTTGGTTCCAACGTTTTCGTTCTGGAAATTTCGACCTGCAGAACAAGCCCCGTGGACGGCCTGAGACCCAAGTTGATAATGAAGTATTGAAGATCCAGCGGATCCATCACAAACCACGTCCAAGTTAGCTGCATGCTGCGGTGTTAGTGATAAAACTGTTTTAATTCACTTGAAGCTAATTGGGAAGATTAAAAAGCTTGAAAGATGGGTACCTCTCTTTCCCCAACCCTCTCTAACCCCAAAAAAGTTACTTGTAAGCGTTTGGTGGACTATTGCCTTTATTGTTCATTGCAGTTTTCTCAAATCTGGCCAGACTATTACGGCTGATGTCTATTGTCAGCAATTGCAAACCATGATGGAAAAGCTAGCGGCTAAACAACATAGGCTGGTCAATCGCTCCACGCCACTGCTACTTCACGACAACGCTAGACCAAACACTGCACAACAGACGGCTACCAAATTAGAAGAGCTTCAATTGGAATGTCTAAGACATCCTCCGTGCTCCCGGACCTTGCTCCAACAGATTACCATTTTTTTCGAAATTTGGACAACTTCTTGCAAGGGAAAAAATTTAACTCTGATGGGGCAGTCCAAATCGCCTTCACAGATTTTATTGATTCCCGTCCGACTGGTTTTTTTAGTAAAGGGATCAATGAACTACCTATGAGATGGCAAAAGTGCATAGAAAACAATGGTTCATACTTTGATTAATTAAATATATTATATTTAAAAATATTCGACTTTTTGTTCCTCCCATACAAAACGCCAATTTCATATGTAAGGACCTAATATAAATTGTATAGAAAACGTGCGTTTTTAAAAAAGTACCTACCCCCATCATCTTGATTCCCACTAAATTTGGCGGGAAACCCCCTATGTTGGCATCACTGATACTGGTACGGGGCTCGGGCTCCGTACAAAAACAAGAAGGTAAGATTCAGAACTTAGTGCTTGGTAGTAAGTGTGACTTCCGTATGTCAAATTCGAACACTTTTTGACATACATATGTCAAACTTCGGGTATAAGGACCCTGAATCTCACCCGCAGATGTGGTATTCTTCCACGTTAAAAAAAGGTTTGTGCAGTCCAAAAAAATAGACCTTTAAGTAGGCACTAAGTTAAAACAATAAATAAAACTTCAGCTTCGCATTGTTTCGTGCGCTTTTTAGGAGTTGCGGTCATAAAGACTCTTTCGGTCAGTGCGAAAATAAGGTATGCAGTGATGTATTGGTAAAATAAGAAGTAAGGAAACGCATAGTGAGAGCAATAATGTCCTATTTCAGCGAACTATTTTTTTCCATGTAAGTTTTTATTTTTTCTTATTATAAATAAAAGAAAATCAGAAAGATATTATTATTGTGTAGTACTCTTATGGTGTGCTACAAAAACCGAATATGATCACACACATTTTTATCATTTGCACCTGCTCTTTTAGTTCTACTAAAAAAGTACTGGAACGCGTTCCGGTTCTGAAAAAAGGGAACGTCATTCCACCGCGTTCCCCTCCCTTAACCTTAACACCACTGAATATATGTAATCAAACAAGAATAGTGTTAGGTGTAATGTATTATTTCTTTACCATCACTTGTAGGCCTCGAATTTTTAATCTGGCTCGACCTTCTTTGTATGTCCAATTGCAAAGGTGGCGGTGGTAAAAATAATCCCTCAGGCCAGAGGGATTCAGGATCTGCCGAGTCCACTTTGTACGGAGATGGAGGTAGCAGAGGAATCTTTTCTGTAAAAAATATATTGTAAGCCTAGAGGCGCCCTCTATTGACATACGTTTGAACCAGGCACAGCAACGGATATTTATATATAATTGGAGTTAATTGAGGTTTTTTTACATCATTGTGACACGATAATTTTATATATTAGATTATTGCAACGAATTAAAACCAATTTTATTTAAAATCTTAAGAAATACAAAAAGTTAGGTTTAATACGTGTGATAAAGGATAATATTCATTAAATAAACTAGACGTTAATGGTTTTATTAAGTTTACCAGCATTGCGCATGTCTTGTTGCCATGGTAACTTTCTCGGAGTCTCTTCTACGTGGAACGGAATGGATGGCCGTTGCCTAGAGTATCCTAGCTGCGCTTGGGTCTCCTGGGGTACTGTAAAAAATGTATGATAATAATATATGTATTTACATATATATTTAGGCGAAATAGGTACATAGACTTCTCCGAGTGGTGAATATTCTAGTCATTCTTTTATATTAATGAGATCATATTCCTTTGTACGCAATAAGGGTATAACTTAGATTTAGTAACATTAAAAATAATAATAAGTATAAATTATATAAAATTTTAACTTCATAGTAAATTTATATTCATTGATACTCTTATATTATATAACAACGGATTAAATAGTTCTTATTCGGAGCTGGATATAAACGGTAGTAGGCTGATAAATTTAAAGAAAAGCATTGTTAAGTGCGTATATCCTAACCAAATCCGCTGTTTTGCTGGTATTTTTTTCTGCTTAGCAAATTTCAGGTAAGTATATTTTATTGTATCTATTAATATTTTAATTGTAACATTTCTGTTTAAATTCTCATACATTTTAGATAAAAGAGTTTGTAACAAATACCGTAGATATTAATAATATGTAATATGATGTGGTAAACTTGAATAAATAAATATATAATCAAAGATACTCATCTTACCGTAACACAACAGGGGCATGAGGCATAATTCTATATCTGCTTCATTGATTTAGTAGTCAACCTATATATTATCACCACTATATTATATTTAATCGTGACCATGAATGAAATATTACATGATCTGGAAGTAGGAGTATCTGTCACCAACCGAATGAAATATTGATTTACCAGGAATCGAACCCAGTGTTAAAGCCGATACGAATAAGAAGAATACGAACTTCGTAAATTCCTCATGGGTGTCACGTGACGTCTCTGGATAGACACTGGATCACCAACTCCATGACTATAGCTGTGAGCTGGGGTTGTCACATGAACATGAGAAATGAATTGATGGGCAAACACAGCTGGCAACATTTGCCAGACGAAGAGAAGAATCGATAAGGTGAGTTCCTGTAATTAAAGGAAAAAAATTATATTAATGTTCCTAATAAAACTCAGAGTTAGCCGTGTCCGTGCGATTAAAACGTAGCAAACCTACATCTGCAATTCTTTTGTTTGGATTTAAGCATTACTTTAGAGAAATTCTGGTGCGTGATCATTCTAGTCAGTGATCTTCAGAATGTTCCTTCTAGAACCAACTTTCAATACCCCTAAAGTTTTTATTGTGCACTCTGTTTGAGAGGTAATTTTAAATACGAATCAAATATATATTCAAGTAGTATAAAATTTGATCTTAGTATTATAGCTTTTCGATGTTTCAGTTATAGCCACGCTTGGAGTTTATATTTTGTTTAGTTTGTTGGTTGGGTTTTAACTTAATATAAGCTGTCGAATGCCAAGAGCCGACTCGTCAGAACTTTGGTATTTTCCATATTTTTGTACGGATCAGAGTCCTGGTCAATTCTTGCAGCGGACTGAAAACAGATAGGCATTCGAGATGTGGCGTTGGACGAGAATGTTGCGAATGCCATGGACTGCAAAAACAACCAATAAGACCATTCTCAACCAACTAAAAATCACCACAGTACTATCATTTACTAACGGGTGCTTAGCTACTTTTCCATATTGCCAGGAGAGAACCAAAAAGTCTCGACAAATTGGTAGGTAGGAGTGATGGCAGGAGAAGTCGGGGTCGATCGCCTACCCGTTGGTCTGACCAAATTAAAACAATTATGGGTCTTAACATCCCTATATGAACTAGAAACTCTATAGAATTTTACGTACTTTAAGAATAAATAAACGTGTGTGTATGTAACTTATAAAAGGTTTGCCACAAGGAGAAAAACTATGTGATTAATTAGTGATTAAAAGACTTCTGTACCACGACTTTGTAGAGCTTTCGGGTGCCTTTTGTCATTTAGTTATGTAAAAAATGTAATAGATCCGTTGAACCGACACTACAGCGTCAATCAATGTAGACAGATTCGTGCTATCCGACCGTTGAGTTTTTAATCAACAATGAACTCGACATCAGGCTTTGGGATGACAGTAAGACAGGTCGAGGAGTAACACAGTTTTATTTGGTTTCGCAATAAACCTTGAGTCTTTTTACAAAGTACACAATTTTACAACGTAAAATTGATGTTTATCTATAAAATGTATACTTAATATGGCATTGTTTAGATTGGAACGTGAGCATATTTCGGTCTAAATGGGTAACAAGTAACCAGGGACAGATTACAATAGATTACAATGTTTTTATGAGACTAGTTCGTAACATTTTTAATATATAGATCCTGATCGTTCATCTTTAGTCATAATTTTCTCCAGACCACGGCTTGTAATTGAGACAGATAGTAGTAGCTAATAGATAAATGATAGTTACTGTGGGACATCGATAGGCATATATAAAAACATCGTATTAATTTCAAAATAGATCAATCTATAATATAAAAATGAATCGCAAAATGTGTTGGTAAGCGCATAACTCAACAACGCGTGGACAAATTTGGCCAATTCTTTTTTTATAATATTCCTTGAAGTACGAGGATGGTTCTTACGGAGAGAAAAAATAGTGTTTTTTAAGAGAAAAATTTTATGACTGAAAAAGTCTAAAAACAACACTTTTCTATATTCCCATACAAAATATTCGTAATAATACTTAAAAGTCAATTTGAACTTTAATACCACATCATAAAGTTCAAGTGTTAGTGGAGGTTCCGGGAAGGTAAATTTTTATTTTTTGACAATGTATTTGTTGTCTTATCAACTTTCTTTTTTTTTATCTGACTAGCTAGACCGGTCTCCCGAATAGCAGAATAAGTATTTAAAAAAATAAAGAATCGACTGTTAGGCGGTACGATGTTCGCCAGGCCAGCTAGTTATTAATAAATATTTCCTATTCCGCGATATCTGTATCTTAGTACAAAAGAGCTCTGAAATATTATACTTATATGATACAATGCATCTAGATTTGGTTTTTAAAATATATTTTTAAGCTACGGCCTAACTATAGATTTCGCATATTGTTTTGTAAGTTCCGTGGGATACAATGGAAATGCATTTCAATCGAATCTGCAAAATGTCGAAATCTTAAACGATCGTGTTACTTTAATGATGCCTTACAAATAATGTATTAAATCATTAGAATTTCCAACTGATGGAACATTGTTAGCCTTATGGTAATTGTCACGATGTCAAACTTAGGATGTGCTACGTTTTTTTTTCTATACCTAATTGCAATTAACACTTCTAATGAGCAGTGTTGGCCTAGTGGCTTCAGCGTGCGACCCTCGTGCCTGAGGTCGTAGGTTCGATTCCCGGCTGTGCACCAATGGACTTTCTTTCTATGTCCGCATTTAACATTTGCTCGAACGGTGAAGGAAAACATCGTGAGGAAACCGACATGTCTTAGACCCAGAAAGTCGACGGCTTGTGTCAGGCATTGGAGGCTGATCACCTACTTGCCTATTCGATTTTCAAAAAATGATCAATAAACAGATTCAGAAATCTGAGGCCAAGACCTAAAGAGAGATTTTTTTTAGTGTGAATGAAAAGATCGCGAGCAAACCTTTTCTTTAGACCTCATAATCATGGTCGTGTCAAAGGCTAATAATACCTACTTGAATATAAAGACAATTGACCAGATAGATGCAGATGTGTTCTGTGTAATATATACATATCTACATTACTTACCTCAAACACACAGCCTGAGTCCTTCCCTTTCAAGGTACGCTCGTCTCGAGAATTTACCTTCGATTTTGACATCTCCTAGTGTCGCTCTACACGATTTCGTTTCGATTTTCGTCGTCGTTTCTTGTGAAAACAGCGAAGCAATGAAACTCCTTGCCCTTTCAATCTCTTTAAAGCGTATAAGAATGAATGAACCCATTCAAGCGACGGCTAAATAGGCATCTCCAGCATGCCGCATCTCACTTATAAGGTGTCAAATGTGTATGTATGAATTTTTCATGTTCAAGCATTCATTCAGCAGCTTTGACTAATTATCAAAGTTCAGTGGACGAATGAGCTACACAAAGAACTTAGACTGTGGTTCAGTATTGTAAAAGCCTTGACTAGAGATGTGATGTGAATTATAATTCTATTGGGAATCAGGTCTTCGTAACAATATCCGTCAAACTTTGACCACACAGCAGCTGTTATTTAAGTTTCTTATTACGCAGTATAGTAGTATATGCTACTATTTGTAGATAGTTTTTATTGTGTACGAACACGACGTTTTATACAACAGATCTAAACACTAGTCTACTGATAATTTAGTTGAAGTACATTAACAGGTTCTTTATTATAAAAGATTATTCCTCTATATAGCAGTCTCACTAAGACAGAATCTCAGTATACAACCAGCTCTGTTGCGTCGCAAGGCGGTTTAAATATTCCAAAAACAAGAATCGTTACGTATTCAAATAATTATATGTTATAAAGTACTTTATTTATTTGAAAAAAAAAACTTTATAACAAAAAAGATTAGCCACTAAACAACATTAATTTAACATGACGTTCAATGTTACTTTTAAAATAAATTGTTATCATGACAATAAAATTCATTATGGGAGCATATGATTTGTTGAACGCGTTAAACGAAGGTTAGGTCATTACAATGGATGTTCAACTCAATGTTGCGTTAATATAAAATTAAGAATAAGGTTAGGAAGATAATTTTCACGTAACGATACGTAAATTTTACTAAATAACTGATGTTGGAAGTCCCTTTGGCGGAATTTTGTTTCAGAACTAGTCGAACCTGACTCCCGTAATTTCTAATAGGTATCAAGTGCCTCAGACAATAAAAAAAATATTTTTAATGCACAAATCTTTAGGCGGCAGGCCATAGTGCCTTCATTACTCTGTTAGCTTTATTAATCTATTCTGTGGACTATAACTTAACCACGAAGAACTAAGAATATTAATGACAACATATTAAATATAATAGTACTCAATAATCAAGTTATATTAATATTATTCGAACCGTGGGAAGCTTAAAATCGGGGTGCTCGCAATTAATATAGCATTTTATACATATCATACATAAGACATCAATATTTGTATTAATTAATCACGAAATTTTGAACGCGTGATCATATTTGAATTGCGCAGAAGCCTTGATTTTATTATAAAGAGGCTGTTCAATTAAGCGTGGTAATTAAATTGGTTTATTAAATGATGATCCCATTATTGTGACCTTCGTTTGGTAAATATAGATCGTAATGCGATAAATGCCTATAATTGGTATTTAATTATGGAGCATATAAAACATTACAGAACAGTCGTTATCGCGATCATAATAACAAATTTATGAATTAATTGTGCCTAAAATTAAACTTACTATTAAAGAATACATAATATAAAATTAAAGTCATGATATGTTTCTAAAATTTAGTGAATAAAGTCCCCAAATATAGACTAACAAAATTGATTGTCAAATTTACATGTCATAGACAATCTATAGTCCTAAAAAGAGACAAAAACATTATATATATATATACATATAGCTCAAAAAGTGTGACAAAGTGCTAAGCATAAAAAAGCTGACGGCTTATGTATTCTTTGTATGATCTTGTTGCAAATTGCACTGTAATTTATAACTTTTACACCCTTTTAAGAGCTTTTAAGAACATCTTTCAGGCCGCTAGTTAAACGGCGCCGTTTAGTTAAAAGGCTAGGCTGTTAATTAAACGGCTAATTAAGCTAGTTGGCTGCGACATATATATTTTCAAACCTAAATACGTACTAGTTAGATATTACGTTTAACAATCCGATGTCAGACAAGTTATCAAAGCAGATTCCAATCGTGACTGTCGACAAGGCTTCCATAATTACCGATGTACCGATTTACCATAATTTATTATTGCGCAAGCGTGCTCTCGATACGGAAAGCTTTTGGTTAAAAGCTATACGATTTTAGCGCGTATTTTTAACTCTACACATCACGAATTGTATTTGTCATGATCAAAACGTCACGAAACTATCACGGGCCATCAAGGACTTTGTAATGGATGTTAAAATCGATTAATTACTTGATTAATTTCGAAATCTCAATGATTCTTTTAACTGTACATAGTTACTGGTATGAGTTTTGATTTGATTAAGAATTAACGATTATCCAGAAACTTAGCTAAGCTTAAACTTAAAAAAATATTCTAAAAAGGAGTTTATGTTCGTTATGGGACATTATGAGTAAATTTCAGTATTTTATACGTAAAAACTTTATTTTGCATAGAAATTTTCTTGTTTTAATTTGTCACAAATAAAAGTTATTAAATATATCTTAAATTTTTTAGGTCCATTAAAACTATAGGAATGGAAGTTAAAAGTAAATGTGTAGTGTAAGTGGGAAAAGGGAATTAGGCAGTGACGTAAATAACAATAGATAGGGTGGCAAGGCTGGCAAAATGCCACGGGCCCCCGACCCAAGAGATATTATTTTCTATGGATAAATGTGAAGTCTCCAATACGCATTGGGCTAACGTGGGGACCATTCCCTCTCGCCTAAGAGAGGAGGCCTATGGCCATTACTGGGACATATACATACTACGTGTAATTGAGTACGCTGAAAGTCTCGAAGTTTATTCAAATTAAACTGAGTACAACGTGACGATTTTTACTGATAGACACACAACAGATCATTTGCTACGGGCCCCAGATAGAATAGTTACGCCACTGGAATTAGGTACAAATTTTTGTTTCACTCCGTCGCTAGTACTGTGTATTACAAAAATAACAATTGTGTTCAAAGTAATGCAATAAATAAAAAAAAATAATATTTTTGTTGGTCTCACAAAGAATAACCCAATGAATAAAATAGTACCTCGGTAGTCCGAGCATATAATTGTTTTTTTTAGATCTTCTCATAACTTCTATTGTTAACTGTACCTACAATAAAAGCCAGTTATACTCATGTTATTCATAAATTTACGACACCATTTCAAGTTTTATATCGCGTATTGCGGTGTCAGGTCAAAATAACACACATAAAAATAATTCTTTTGTATTTCTATTGCAAAAATTTGCCCAGATTACTAAATAATTTGTATTAAGAATTTGATATAATCTATATAATAAATAATATTTTCCTTTTTATTCGTTTTAATAATATATTTTATAAGGTTATATGTAATATATATTATATAAGTATTACTTTTATGTTCTGTAGTTTGGTTATTGTTAAGAGCGATTAATGTCATATTAATTATCTTAATGTCAGAATATTAAGAACTTGTAGTGACACCTACAATCTATATGAAATGTTTCAAAAATATATTAATTGCGGAAGCATGTCACAATGCGTATTTTATCTTTAATACAATGAACTTTAAATTTCGAAAAACATTTCCGTGTAATACATATAAAGGTCTTTCTCAATTTAAATTCGTGTAATATATATACGATGTAAACACAACAAACACACAGATTTTAACTTAAAGCAGTATAATCATACTGATTTAATTTTTATATACATTTAATCTCTAGTAGTTTTTATGTAATTTAAATAAAATTTACGACCCCAAACAGGTCAGGTAAGACCTGTTTGCATCATTCTATTTGTTTAAGTGCTTCTGTGCTAAGCTAAACAAATTATGTTTTTAGCGAACTGTACCCTGCGGCTTAAAGAAAGAAATTACTACATTTGACCGCGGTGGTCGTTGAAATATCTATACTAATAAGAAGTGACTAGAAGACTAGACAATTTTGACAATATCTCAACAATTTATTTTTAACGTAAAATTATAAAAAATTTACGTTTTAATTGGTTTAGTTTATTTAAATTTAGATATTTTAAACTAAATATTACAAAATTATGATTAAACGTATTTTGACCCGTAATAAGTAGGTATTTTTTAATAGTATAAGGAGTTTAGTCTGTGGTTTTACGGAGCCAGTCTGACTTCTGAGACGGTTCACAAGGTTTCCGACCCTTTCACGCGACAATTGGACCAGCCGCTGCATTTGAAATATGATCGAAATGTTATATACACATTACGTTACTAAAATAACTATTGTTTTGTATATATATATTTTATTTTAATTATAAATTATTTAATATAAATAATTATTATTTAAATTATATTTATATTAAATTATTTAATATTAATATATTTTTATTTAAATTATTTAATATAAAAATGCGTTCATTCGTTATAAGTACAATACCCTTTTAAGTAAAAGAGTCCTGTGTCAGGGTCCCCAGTTTTTCTATAACTGTTTATGATCGTCATAACGTCATGTTTTACTCATTTTGGGGGTTAAATAATTATAGAGTGGCAATCCAGTAACGTTACAACCCTATATGGGTCTGGGCCACAGATTGCAATTTTGTTATAGACAAGTAGATCAGCCTTCTGTGCCTACACGTATCGTACATTTAAGACATTGCCCACGTTTGCCTTACCGTTCGAGTATTAATTCAAGCACATAGAAAGAAAATACCATTGGTGCACAGACGTGATTCGAACGCACGACCAACACGCTTCGGCCAACAATGCTCTAACTAATTATTCAAATCAATATTCGATTTAGAGAATTTATTTAATTATTTCATGATTCTAAGCTTTTTGTAAAGAAAATAGGCTTCTATTACAGATTACTTCAATGCGACATCTATTTATTCACATACAAAACAATACATACACAGAAAAAACAACACAAAAATAAACAGTAAAATATTATTTTTGACTTATTTACAAAAAGAATGTTTTTCTTACAGAATAGGAACTGACGGAATAAGTTTAAGGAATTAAAAATTATGA